TATTGGTTTTGTTTTGGCTTTTGTCAAGCGATCCAAGCCTTCCTTCTATGGCCTCGCTCATGCTTCTCATATGGATATCAAGATTATCAATTTTATCCTTCATCTCCTTGTTGGCCATGGCTTTTCTTTCTTCTCTCCTCTCTTTGCTTTGTGGACTCGTGGTGGAAGACGACGGTGATGATGATGAACGAAATATTTTTTTTTTTTTTGATAAGGGGGGGACGAAAAATTGAAGAGAAAAAGAAAGGGAATGGGATAGAAGAAAAACACACGATCAACACCTCTCAATGAAAGCACCAATGATGAAGATCGTCTGTTTCGACTGCCGATAAGCCGCTAACCCGCGCCTTGAATCGCCGATAGTGTTCTTCGAGCCACAACAGCGCCTCTAGGAATGAATAAAATTGCAATTATTCTGGTGAAAAGACTAAAGCGAAGTTGGAAGAACAATGTTCTAGATTTCTATTAACTTCTTGAATGATTAAAAATAACATGGGGGTTGGTCCTTTATATAGGCACCTAATTATATCTAGTCCTAATCTACCTAGGGAAATAATAAGCAATAAAATATTAAGTATCCTAAACAATCTAGATCTCATAATGTAGGATGGAAACAACTTGACTTGCACTCCACTCAAACTCTCCCTCTCTCTCTTCGGTCCACGCACGCGGGTGCCCTACCCGCGCGCCGCCATTGTCCACGCCCTAGTCCTTGAGGACTAGGGCACCGCCTTCCGCGCATGCGTCGTCACCCGGCGTGGCCAGCACGCCAACGCCCAGCGCGCCTGTCCTATGCGCGTGTGCTGCCGCCAGTCCGCATTCCTCAAGGAATGGGGTTGCGCGCCCCGCGCGTGCCTGTGCGCCATCCGCGCTCTTCGCGCGCTGCTCCGCTGCGCCCAACATGCGCACGTGCTGTCCCGCCTTCCCGCATGCCTCGAGGCATGCGGCTTCGTCCGTTGCGCCCAAATCTCGCGCGCCCGATCTTTCCGCATGCGCGCGCATCGACCCCGCGCCACGCAAGCCATCCGCACATGCCGCCCGCACATCCGCGTGCGGCGTATCCACGCCCGTTTCTCGCGCGCTCCTCTCCGATACGCGCACTTCCACCGTTGCTCGTGCCTATCTCCTGCGCGCATGGTAAGCCCGACTTGCGGCGTTCTTGAGCTGCCTAGCCACTTCCGCATCATTCCCGTCCCCTTCAAGTGACTCCTTGTCCTCAAGGATAAAGTTCGGGAATTTACCACGTATCTCTTCAAGATCTTCCCACGTGGCTTCTTCGGGCGGCAATTCTTCCCAATCAACAAGCACTTCCCAACGATAACGCCCTGCTCTCTTTACCTTGCGATACTCAAGGGCTTGTTTGGGGCGTATGATAGCCCTGCCGTCGGTTGCGGTAGTTGGCAACTCCTCACAGTACTTTTGCGCTTCTCCTAAACTCCTCTTGAGTTGCGAGACATGGATAACAGGATGGATTTGTGAGCTTTCGGGTAACTCAAGGCGATAAGCTACTTGACCAATGCGCTGTAGAATCTAATAAGGCCCATAGTAGCGAACTCCCAACTTAGTCGCGGCCCTTTGCGCTGTCGTACGCTGTCTGAATGGTCGTAGCTTCAAGTAGACATACTCGCCTGGTGCAAAATTTTCCTCTCGCCTTTTTCCGTCTGCGAAGGCTTTGGTTCGATTAATTGAGCCTTCGAGATTTCTCTTTAGCTCACGTAACATCAAATCTCGTTCCTCTAATTCTCGACCAACCTCATCGTTGATGGTACTCCCTTCTGAGTAATTGACCAATGTTGGGGGTTTTCGCCCATAGACCAACTCAAATGGCGTCATCTTGGTCGACTCGTGGTAAGTGGTGTTATACCAATACTCTGCCCATGGTAAAAAGTTCTCCCACCGCTTTGGAAATTGATGGACGTAGCACCTCAAATACTGCTCAAGGGTTCGGTTGGTTACCTCTGTTTGTCCGTCTGTCTGTGGGTGATAGGCTGAGCTCATAGATAAATTTTTTCCCTGTAGCTTGAAGAACTCAGACCAAAAGCTGCTCATAAAAATCCGGTCTCGGTCAGAGACGATGGATCGAGGCGCTCCATGCAGTTTCATCACATACTCTACGAATAGCCTGGCAATTGACTTTGCGGTGTAAGGATGGGTAATGGGTATGAAGTGAGCGTACTTCGTGAGACGATCCACCACAACCACAACACCGTCAAACCCATTAGAATTTGGTAGCCCCTCGATGAAATCCATGGTGATGT